TCTTATTATCTATCATTAAAGAGGTTTTTAATCCCTCTCATGTGTGCTGTGTTCATTTGAGATAAGCATCCTTTTTCTTAAAAATCAAAATTGGTCACTTGGACAAATTCTGTTGGGTTGAGCAATGTTCAACTGTATCAGTATTGCTTCATACAATCTTGTCAAAATAGAAAAGACAACATTTGTCTGAAAAGATGTATATTACCTTGTACAAAGTCATGCTAAATAGATATTTAACCATTTCTTCAGATTCTAGTGTTTTTTCAAAAGCTTTCCAAAATTATTTTTATCTTGGATCAACATATAGTTCGTAGCTCTTTGGGTCACCCCTTTCTACTTTTCCCATACTGAATCCTGGTGGGCAGCATTCCAGTCTTCTGCAACTCCCCTAGTTTACAAGAATTGGCTAAATATTAACATTAATGAATAAAACTGCTCCTTGCTTTGGCTATTATTTCTGGATGTGTACTGTCTAGATCTGCTGGTTGCCAAATACTACAAACACTGTCTCATCCTCTTTTGTTATAAGTTATATACAAAGCCAGATATGGTACAAATACCTCCTCTTAAATCAAAACACAGCATGTTGAGGTTTTTTGTTGGTGGAGGCTTTTTTCTTTTTGTTTTTGTTTGTTTCACTGGGGTTTTCTGTGGTGTTTTCATTTTTTTAACCTAAACCACTCAACTATTTCCTAATTTTATATTATACCTACACCTAGTTCTTTTCTCTTTGCATTGATGCCTTCTCCTCTAAACATGTATCACTGATATCTCCATGATTAGCCCATGTCCTTTCTTACCTGCTTCTTTGTTGAAGTTTACTTACACTGCCATTTACTTAATCCTCCTCTTCATCCTCTCTACCTAATGTGCAGAATGCTCTGTGTTTTATTAACAGAGTTCCAGTGACTGTGGAATCACGCCTTTTTGGCCATCAGTATTTTGTTGACTGCTTTATAGCTTCCATTAACACCTCTCTTTTAAAAGATACCTTCCTGGGCAGTTATCCTGCCAATTGTTTAAACTCCAAGAAACAGACTCTTCTAAAGCTCCTTACATTACTGCCTGATGCCATATTCTGTTTGCACAAAGTAAATACAGACAAATAACAATCACTGGTACCTAGGCAACCATGGGATTTCAGGTCAGCTATTAACTCTTCTTTATCTGCTAGAACAAGGTCAACTATTGATTTATTCCACAGTGGGTGCAGAACTGTGTGCATTAAAAAGTGACCTACTCCTTCTAGAAGCTTTCTGGAAGTCTTTTTATTGGCATCATGAAATGTCAAGTAAATATTACCTGCTTTAAGCAGCCTATTTTATTTGCCTCCCTATAAGAAGCATATACATAAGGAGATGTTTGTTCCATTCCTGAGGATATCTCAGGGACCTGTTAGAAAGACGTAATAGGTGAGAGATGGGGTGAAACCCGAGTAGCTTGCATCTGTCAGGAAATACTTGCGTCCTCAGCTCTCACAAATGGTGATGGTTTATAAAGCATTATGTAATTTCCATTTAATCACACATGGATCAACACATCCTAAGTCCACCTCCACTCAAGTCTGGACGAAAGCATTAGTTAATGTTCTGTGCCCCAGGACTGGGCTGACCTCTCACATTCTGCTCCATCCTCAAGGGACTTCTATACTCCCTCCCTCCCATCACATTTATTTCTTCCTCCACAGCTCTGCTGTCTACCCAATTCCTCTCTCTGTACAGTAGCTTGGGAAAATCACTCCAGGCAAGGCTTTTGAGTCTCTCAGATACGACGTTGAGGAGATGTGACCTGACACACAGGAGGGAGAGGGAGATGATGGGGGTTACAGGCCAGCCACAGCTGAAGACTCAGACAACCATGAGTCCCCTGTAGGAGAAAGGGTTGGTTTCAGTGAGTCACCCAAGGGACCGCATCCTGATCCTGAAAAAGAAATAGGAGCGAGGAGGATTCAGAGAGAAACACTCTCCCACTTGAAGCTCTGAGTGTGCCGAGAAAAGCAGCACAGAGAAAAAGGGAGATCCACAAGAATCATTGATTATTTCCTTGGCAAAGTAGCAAAGTTCTCCATTACAGGAAGATGGCACGTGGCCTTTTTTTATGCTCCAAAAGACCTCTCAGCAAATACAGGGCCAGATGAACTAACAGAAGGTTTTACAGGGAATACACCATTCAGTCCAGTTAAAAATCACGTCACTGTGCTGGAACTTGAGATAACATTTAGAGAAAAAAAAAATAAATCAGCAATAAATAGCTTGGGAAACAACAGAAACCTATTTGCAGAGTGTATTTCTCCACCCCTTCTGTGTACAAGTGGCATCATTTGGGCCCAAAAAAAGGATAGAAAACCTTAACACAAGCAGTTAGGCTGCATTTTCTACAGGTCACTTCTCAGGACAGCAAATTGTTGGGGTCTCTCCATCTGCAAAGCAGAGGTAAGAGTCACCAGGACAGGGCTGTTCTCGTCACTTCCATCTTGTCCATGTTCCTCACACCAGAAGCACACGGAGGAACAGCACCAAGGTGAAGAAGCGTGAAAGGAGCCAGTCGTCAAGTGAAGCCCTGGTCCCAAGGGATGGCGCTGCACCAACGTGGAACAGTTTCTGTAAGCGATGCAGCTCCCAGAGAGAGGGGAGCAGCAGTAGCCGAGAGCAGGATGTGCTAAACACAGATTGTAGCAGGTGGTCCAGGAACTGGCTGTGACTTCAGCAATCAGTTCATCCAAAGCGGACGGAACTGCCTACTGCACAGCTCTGCAACAGCAAAAACCAAGCTAAAAAAAAAAACAAACCCCAAACCCAAAATCAAAGCAGAACGGGCGACTGAGAAGATTCAGCAATCACAGATTGCCAGATGAGTTTAACCCCGAAAACATTCTCACGGATGTCAAGAGTGTGATGATCTAATGCATGAACAATACGAAAGCAAACCCAGGCCTCTTGCAACAGAATCGTAAGTTTGGCTGGGACCTTCCTCCAGAGGTCACTTAGTGCAACCCCTGCTCAAAGCAGGTCTAATGAGATCTCTGACTGGGCAAGCTGTGTAAAGTCAAACACTTCAAGGATGGAGGTTTCACAACCTCCCTGGGCATTCTGCTATTTAACCACACTAACAGTAAAAAACCTATTTCCCTGATATCTAATTGAAATTTCCCACGTTCCAACCTGTTTGTTGTCTCTCATCTCATCATTACACACAGCCAAAAAAAGAAGTGTCTGGCTACATCTTCTCTGTATCCTCTGATCAGGATGTTGCAGACACCCTCTGTCTTCTCTTCTCAAAGCTGGACAGGCCCAGCTCTCAGGCTCTGCTCACATGCCACATTCTCTGGTCCCCTGACCATCCTGGCAGTGCCACTGGACTTGCTCCAGTAGATGATGAGCACTTCTTGCACGGGGAAGCCCAAACTGGGCCCAGTATTCCAGATGCAGTCTGACAAGTGACAGTAAAAGGGTCTCTTCCCCGGGCCTGCTGGCTACTCACTAACACAGCCCAGGATACTGTCGGCCGCCTTTGCCAAAAGGGCACACTGCTACTTGTGTTCAATTTGTTGTCCATCAGGACCCCCAAATCTTTTACTGCAGAGCGTCTTCCCAGACAACCAGCTCCCAGCCTGGACTGCTGCAGAGGTTATTCCCTCCTGGATGGAAGGCTTGAAATTCGCTCTTGTTGAGTACCTCAGGATTCCTGTCAGCACATTTCTCCAGCCTGGTCAGGTGCCTCTGAATAGCAGCCTTGCTCTCCTGCACTTCGACCACTCCTCTCTATTTGGTCTCATCCACAAAACAGCTTCTTCTGGCCACAAAACGCTTCAAGAACGAAGATCTCTCACAATATACAGCATCTGGGACTCTTGCTCAAAACCACTAGTGGAATTTTTAACATTTCTGCACACTCTGCTCATTTTGTACTGTCCAAGCTATGAACAGATAAGCCCAATTCTTGTCTCATTTGTAGCAGTCTAAGCTTGAAGCCCATGAATTTGACATATTTACATACTGTAACACTACCCTCCATGCAAGACTGTGTTTGCATGTGCATGCATACACACCCACACAGATGGCTCAAGAGATGCAACAGCCGAAACAGAGCAGTGCAAGATTTTGGAGGAGCAGCTGGCTACGCAGCTAGGACCAAGGTATACACCGAAAGCCTAAGGTAGTAAGTAAGAGGAACCTCAAGCTTTGGTCTTTCCTAACTTGAATCCTCTGCACTGTATCTTAAACAGGCAACAACATTTACAGTCTCAACTTCATAGATAATAAATATTTCTGAAGACTTTAAAACATGCCATCAGCCAAGGAGGTTACCATCATATCAACACGTCAAGGATTCCCAATGATGATGATATATAGATAACTTCACTTGAAGGTTAGGTCATTTATCTCTGTGTCCACATGGAATGAGTCACCACCTATATTCATGTGAACAAACTCTTCCTCGAAGAGCTTATGAAGTGAGAATAATGAATAGCATAAAAAGCTTAGGGAAGACAAACTATTTGGTGAAAAGAAACAGAATGTATAACACACACAACGTAAAATACTATCTGACGTGCACTGACTTTTCCACATGCAATACCTAGTTGGCCAACTCCTTGCAGCAATTTTTCAGCATAGAAGTGGATCATGAGGAAAGACATAAATATTTCAACGAGTTTCCAAGCAACTGGAAAACAGCGCTTTGCAAAGGATATATTAAGTCAATGTTTAATCCTAGTCTTGACTGGGAAATAAGGTGAAATTCTGTTTTGTTTTGTGGGGCTTTTTTTCCTCCCCAAATCAATTGTCTAGTTACACTCAAAATCTTGATATGAACAAACACAGTTATAGTTTTCATGTGTATTTACCAGCTGAGGTAAACACTACCAATTGTCCTACTTCTACAAATATTTTACAGTGTACTGACTAAACTGAGGGGAAAGGGCTTTTCCTTCACATAAACGCACTAGCACCATGTGTCCCTTTTAATCTGCCGTGCCTTAAAGGGTGCTGGTAACTTACCCCAAACATCTGCCGAAGGTCAGGATCTCGAAAGCGGAAGGGAATATTAGACACATGAAGCCGTTTTGGAGTGGATTTGCTCTCGGTATTCTCACTGCTCTGTGTCTGTGATTGCTGTCCATCTGTCTGTGCCCCTCCTTCTGTCTGCTGAAATCAGAAAGACAAAAAGTGTGTGCATGAACAGAAACCACACAAACTCCTTTCACACGCTTTGTTTACCTCTTTCCAGGTATTAGTACTACACTCGTGATTGCGATATCTCAGCATTTGACAATTATTTTGATAAAGCCAGTAACGCTTAACAACTGATTTGCTGTTCTTTCCCTCCCTTTCCATTTGTAAACAGTAATGAGATCTCAGCCTCCTTCCCCTCGGATCACCTTTCCGCTTGGTAAATTTGCCTTTGGTTTTCTTAAATTGCTTCTCTCTTTTCCCCTGTTCTTCCTCACTTCAGCTGCCACCATATGAAAGCTCTAATGAAGAGGCGGATCTTGCATATCCTGAAGCCGGGAGGTAGCACCGCCACTCTAATCTCATGTGGCAGGATGTTCGTGCAATCATCAAAATCCCACAGCTGAAGTGGCAGCTCTTCACCGGGCCAATACCAGAAATGCATCCCCAGGCAAAATGGCATCTGCTCTGTCAAGCTCCCTTCAGAGAAACACTACCCCAAAAGAAGATCTATAATTAAATGGTAAAATCCATATATGAACAGGATGTCTCTGATTAACTTTTTTCGTACATTCAGAAGTCAGCCCAGGGACACGAAAGTCATAACCACCACAGGATTTATGAAAACTCCAAGTGCTACTTACTGCTACCAATCCCACAGCTAAAACAAAGGATTTTGTCCCAGTGTTCCCAAGCACTGACTGGTAAAGCAAAGCCAGGTCAAGGGATAGGCCAGGGCTACCTGTTCGCAGACAAAGTACAGCAAGAAGGCAGAGCAGTAAGGGAGACCACTGTGCCAGAGGAGAGACCTACTGCACCCACAGAGATGATGGGCAGGGGTGAGGAAATGGAGAGAACCTCAGCCACTTGTGCTGGGCTTGGACTAAGAAGAGGTAAAATCTGAGCACAGCACTAGATAGAAAGGCAAGGCACCTTTGCAAAATGGTTTGATACGAAAATGGTATTTTTCGCACTTTAGTCAGAAAAATTACCTCAAAACCTCAAGAGCTGCAGAACAAAGTAGGCTACATTCTGATCAGTTTTATTGCTCTGTTTCTTTCAAAGACGAGCACTGACAGCCCAAGGTATTCAGAAAGCACCCATTCACTCACTCCATCTCCTGCTGCTTGCCTCAGCCTCCTAGGAGTCACACTTTGACCACCCGTGTGATGCACTTTTAAGTGTCATTTCATTTCTTCAGATGCCAACCTGACTTCATCCTTAACCCATCAAGTGAAGAGAGATTCTATGAGAAGGGTAAGGACTGTGTAATCGCTAAAGCCACCCTGTTTTAGGCTGCTTTGCACACCACTCAATATACAACACTTCATGAATATTTGGAAAGAAACATCTCTCCACTGATGAAATAAACTGGCAACATTAAGAGAGCTTCTTCTGGCCCAAAACATCTCTTGCAGACATGACCTTGAACTTGTGTGTTGGCTCCAAAGCACTGACAAGAGGAAGCAAACAGCAAGCACTGGGGTCTTGTCCTGCTGAGCGAAGCAGTGGCAGCTTTCCATTTTATTTTAGTGGGGCTGCACAGGCAGCACAAAACACATTTGATCTGATTAATATAAATTAAGCTGTAATAGGAAGAATGGAGATACTGCCCTGCAAGTATCTTTACTCCCCAGAGCCACACGAGTCTCAGGAAAAGCCTGGCAGGATGAAGCATTTTTATTTGGCTAAGACTCATCTAGTCCCCAAACATCAAATTTTCAAGAACATCCTCTGAAACTTCCATTTGGTCGTATCTAAAAAGATGCTCTCCCCCTCCCCAAGTTCTTCCTCTTCTCCTATCCTCACCCCTATGACAAAATCCGTCTCCAAACACACAGAGAGTGCCCCCCAGGGGAAGAATCGATGCAGCTGGCTTATGATTAAATCACGCTATGCTATTTGGTGGTTTTATTTTTATGACTCCATCAGAGTCCTTGGCTCCTCAGGGCAAATCTGTTCAGGAAGGACAAAACACAGGGGCAGCCCATCCATCACTACCGCACACCATGCCCACAAGTGAGTGCTCCAAAGTAACTCCCCAGAATCCCCCACACCCCTGCTGAAAGGGGTCTCCCACAACCCAGTCTGGAGCCCTGCTGGCGCTGTTTGCCAAATCCCAAGTTTCCTATGGCAAGTGGGCAAACACTGGCGCACACAGGTGCATCCTGAAATACACCCGCTAGTGCATCTTCTGCAGTGTGGATAAGGAAAGGCACAGATTCTGAATGGTGACAACAAAAACCTTATAGTCTTTAAATGCAAATACAGGTTGCACAGGTCTGGATCTGCCGCTTCCACAGGGGAGGAAGCCGAAAGGTTGCCTGCACTCCTCTCCCATCCATTTGTTCACAGGCAGAGGGCAGAACTCCCTTTTTACCAAGGGTGCCATGCATCATGTACAGGGGCCTGCTCGAAAACACTCACAGCTGTTGCTGCATATGGCAGAGCGCTGCTGCCACACAGCAGTCATTTTGCAGCACGCGTGATGAGTACAAAAAGACAAAGGCTTCAAAGAGGAGAAACAACAGAAGAAAAAAGGGGATCTCAGTCCGCTCTTACCTTTGTGACTACGCTAAGAGTTCTCAAATGCTTTTCAGGCTTTTGCATGCCCTGATTTTTCAGCGGTAGTTTAACATTAAATACCTTCTCTCTCCGGATGCTGTAGCTCCCTCATTTCTATCGTCCATGGCCCTAAGGTAGGATTTGAACTTTCAGCCACTATAACATTAGCTCAACACATTTGGCTACTGCCACACATTCAGCTACAACATAAATGAAAGAAACAGACTCCTCAGATCTTGCTGCCTTTTTTTTTTCCTTTTATAGTTATTCCTTGTCTTAATTCATTAGGAAGGAGATGAAAGGAAGGGCCTGAAGCCTGTTCTCAGGCAGCACATAATGGAGACTGGCAACAACACTACCCCAACCAAGCCAGATGATAAAAGCCTGCATTTCACCGTGCACCCACTCTCCACCCTGACTCCTTCCCCACACAGAGTTTCAGCTCCTTTCTTTTGCAAAAGCAGCAGGAAAAACTGGCCTCTCCCTTTGCTACAGACAGCGATTCGGCTTGGAAGGGAGCTAAGAGATGTTCCCTAGGTCTCAATGCCTGTCACCAGGCAGCACAGAGACACGCTGTGGCAAAGACCCTGCATTTGAAAACAGCACTGGATCCACCTTACCTCCTCAGCACAGGCTGCAGAGCACATACTTACGCAGGTGATAATGTCATTCACGCCTGCACACGCCAGCTTTGAGCTCTGCTCAAGGTCACTGTGAAACACATCAGAGTTCAGGACACGCACGAGATGTGCTTCACTTTTAACTGCTTGCTGCCTGCCCGAGCTCCTTCCTCCCTTACACCCACCAGCAGCAAGGAAAACCTAAGCAAGAAGAGGCAGCTGCAAAGAGAAGCACGGATGTACACCTGTGTATGTACGCATACAGAAGGGGAAAGGGACGCCTGGCTACATGAGGGTGTTTTGAAAGGTTTGGAGGCAGCTCTGCAACCATCTTCCTACCTCTTGACTAGGCTCCTCTGCCCTAAAGCAGCTGGTGAACAAGCAATTGCTGAGGATTTCTCCTTGGGAGGAAGGCAGGGGCTCCAGCGCCACCTGAGCTCCATCTGCATGGCCAGACAGAGGGCTACCACCCCACCGAGCCAGACAAACACCACAGGCCAGCGCAGAGACTGTTAATACCCAGCACATTCTGTTTCCATCTCCCACTTGCTTCTGAAACTGGAACCGCTTCAGGTTCAAGTTATAGAAAAGGAAAAAAACAACCCCCTGTCCTCTTCCCCAGGAAGCAGGCAGTCCAAAATGTTGTGAATCATAATGAGGAGGTTAAGAGCCATAAATCACTGCAAAGAAAATATTTACAAAATACAAACTGTAACTAATAACTATATTTAAAAGGGCACTTGGGTGGCTTACAAGATCTGGGAGACAGACTGTGCTCACCCCGCTGCTTCCAGACCGGTCGCGGATCAAAACTGAAAAATGGCCTTGTTTGGATCAAGAGCTTGAGGAAATGCGTGGAGACAAGGGCTGAAAGCTCCGACTGGCAGAAGGCAATCTTCCCACCACAGAGGAGAGGGCAGACGACGTGGGAAGATCTCTGCAACTTCTAGTGAGGAAACGATGTCAAAACAAGCAGTCACCCACTAAGGAACAGATATTCACCAAGCAGGTATGGTGGGAAAATGAGTGAAGAATTAGGCACCAGACCCAAAAGCCCTCTCCTGCCCCACCACACTCTAAGTAGGACTGAGGTCCCACACATCTAAAAGCAAAGAGCATGGGAACTTCTGCTTCTTAGACTATGCTTGTTTAGCAGACAGAAGACTGCAGGTCTAATAACCACCTTTCAACAGCAGGAAATATGATTTTAGAATTCTATCCATGTACTTGATGTTTCAGAGATACCAGCAACATCATATAAAAAAAATAAAAAATTGGGCTACGTTGCAGGCACAATTAGTAACACACCCACGTACCCTGTATGCCAAAAACCGGACCAAAAAAAAAAATCGCTAAGGATGTACAAAATAACTTTTGCTGGGATTTTAACTATTTTCAATATAGTTAGATTAATTCAGAGCACATATTGTCCTGATTGTTAGCTACCTGTTTTCAGAAACACTGAAGCTTAAGTCGTTTTGTTCACTTTTCTTATTAAATAAAGACACATCCCACCTGAAGTAAGAACGAAAACCTGACATAGGAAAGCACATAAGAAGCTTTGCTACCTGTCCTGCACAACAAAGACATCTCTGATGTGTCAGGTAACGTTTTCCACATAGTGCTGTTTAAGATTGCTTTGTTTCTCTGAGCAGTATTTTTTCCTATGACTCCTTAATGCTTTTTTCTTATTGTTATTTTTTTTCTTTCAATGAAGTGGCAAAAAGAAGCCCCCTGAAGGCCCATTCCTCACAAAGCAGGGATGCCCTGACAAGATGAAGGCCACCAGCA